TTTAGGTCTTAAAGGTTTTAGGGTTTAGGGTTTATGGGGTCTAACGTTTAAGGTCTTAGGGTTCCGGAATTTATGGTTTAGGCTGCCGAGTGCGCCAAAGATTTCAGCACGTTATCGCTATTGACATCATGCCAGGTGCATGCAGAGAATTTTGAGTAGTCTTTGTTTGACAGTGCTGCCATGAGAGCAGGGAGCGGGTTCTGAATCCGGGCGAGTGCTTGTCACAAGATTCCTTTCACCCTAAGCCCTTATAGCTTCAGATCATTCATCTCGACGCGGCACCATCTGAAGTCAGCACCACGTCCTTCATGTAAGCATTTGATGCAGGATCTGGCCGTGAAGGATTTATTATAAGATGTCTGCGCTGAGCATCAGCAACTTGGGGATGTTCCAAAGCTTCTTTGTCACTGTTTGATCCTCACAGCCTGTTGCATAGCAGCTTGGGAATGTATTGGCCCTCGCGAATCTAAACCAGTCTCTTTTGCCAGGCGCGCTTCCTATCTTGAAATGTCTTTAAATCGGCTTCGCGCCATCTTGTCAGATGAATTTTGTTGATCTTCACATCCTGCGCGCGAAAAAAAGGCTGAATACGATGTTGCCCTCGAAGGCCCTGTTCCTCTTCGCCAATAATCTGTTGTCGAACAAGGCCCGCAACAAGGACTTTCCCCAATTTGAGCACTATTGTTACGAAAGCTCCGGTGTGGCGGCGGGAGACCCATTAGAATGAGGACCAATTCGGGAGCCTGCAAGGGCTAGACTCCGCGGAGGGGTTTGGGGCCCTGGCCGCGGGGTCCGTCTTGGGGAGTTGCTTTGAGGGCCAGAAGGTTGTTTTAAGAGACAAAATCGGGGCATATGGGGGGACGAGGCGGTGAAACGGTGGGCATGCTTTTGCCCTCTGCATGAACTTTCGTCCCCCATTTAGGCAGTTTCAGGCAGTCTTGTTTGGCAGCCTGCGAGGATCCACTGGCTTTTAGGAGCCCTTGTGGTGATTGCTGTAGCGACCTCCTTCTGCACACAGCAGATCCCGAACCCGGCAACCCCACAACCAAGTTACCATTAGTCTGATGCCCCAAGCACCCAGCCATTGACCTCAGACCTAAAATGGAAGCTGCTATGCTAATACTGTCTCTGAACCTGCAGCCCATATTGATAGCAACAGCTCTACAGATATAAGCTGTTGAAATGGCCAGGAACTTTGCCTCATCACTTGAAGGCTTACACGCAACTCCAATCGCCGCATGGATCTTTTCGTGATTCCTGTCGTCGAAAAGCACACAGAGACAGGGTTTAAGTACAGAACTGGTGGGCAGCCCAGGGTCGGCGTCCAAGAGCTTTGCACGGCTCTTCAGAAGCTACCACGCTGCAGGCTCTGGGCCGCTGATTGCTTGGGTTGAAGGGCAGATTCCGAGGTTAACAAATGGCAGTGATGATGATCATGATGCTGATGGTGATGATGGTGGTGGTGATGGTGATGATGATGATGAAAAGTGATGACAGTGACGATGCTGATGCAGCTGATGATGATGATGATGATGATGGTGATATGATGATATGGTGGCGATGGTGAAGATGCGCCGACGGCTATGGCGTTCCAACCTTCGACTTTTGAAGCACTTGCTGCGCAATTTCCCTGGGCTAGGCTTTGGGAGTTGATTTTAGCAACTTTGCCCAAGAATTGCTCCCATGCTGTCGAAAATTTGACAATTTCTATGTGGCTACCTTGTATAATATAGCTATCATCATTCTTATACAAAAATCTGCTATAATATGGCCCGAAGACCTATTCTAAGTCTTTCGGTTTCTACATTATGCTGGACAGACTGCTCAGCCTATCTTCTCTGACTGTTTGGGTTTAGGGGTTTAGGGTTCAGAGCCTGGGCATATAATAAAGTGTATCCCTGTACTGAGCCCGGTACACCCTTATCATAAGTCTTGATCAGTGATTAGGTTTCTTAAGCAGTAGCAACCTCGAGATCCAGCAAAAGTCAGGATCGCGAGTCGCGTCTCGAAGCAGCCGCGACAGTCTGCCTGTCTCAGCATACCTCGGGCAGCTACAATTGTAGATGCTTCAGCCCTAAAGTAACATAGTAACCCTTTTGGGCCCCAAGTATGTAATCCCCAGGCACCTGGACCTTTGGGCTTGGAGAAGCCCAACTGTTGCGGGATGGCTCCGAAACTGCTTTCAGGCGCCCTGCAGACTTCGGCGATCTCGGTTCCTCAGTACGACGCTTTGCCAGCATATTGCCTGACTTATGCCGATCGTTCATACTGAATTTGCCAACTGCCCTAAACACTAAACCCTAAACCCTAAAAAGTCGAAGATTCCCTCAGAGGAGAGGAAGGCTCAGCTTTCCTTGGGATTCTTGCGTTTGCGGTTTTCTCAAGACAAGGGCACCCCAAAAAGCCTGAGGGTATGTAGGGACTAGATGTTTGTAAGGCGATTATGGGGTCCCCTTTAAGGATTGCACATTCATCATGTGAGTAGCATTTCACCTGGGGATATTTATGGTACCCAATATAGAGTAAGATTATATCCTCCTTTTGGGTTATAGTTTTTATATAAAAAATATTCTCTTACTAGGTTCAACCACCAAAAAACACTACTCATGTTGACAAACTCTCACATCATCGACCGATCTCTTAACCCGGCTTTCAAAGACACGCTACCCAACAGAGACTGTTCCAATCTAATCCATTCACCCTGCTAACGGCCCTAAACCCTAAACTTCTGTGTTTAGGGTAGTTGAGGGTTTGGAGTTGGTACTGAAAAACTTCAAGTCATAGTGGCCTGCGGGTCGCTGGGAGCTGCTTTCGATGGGCTTGCGCGGATGTTGGAAAGCACGGTTCCTATTCCTTTCATGGATGTGAGGGTTGGGTAACCCATGACTACCCCTGCCCTTAGCTTATTGTCATACGCTATGAGAGTCATGCGGTTCCACTTTGGGAGCTAGGACTTAGAAATTGTGCGGGGCGAGCCTCCCTGTAGAATTTTCAGCCGTTGGGATCACTCCAGATAAGTTGGAGGCTTCCGGGGGGGTTAGGGTTTAGGGCCACAGAAGATCCGTGGCCATCGCCAGCCGCCGTCCCCGGTTCAAGTAGCAGTTCCTTGCTTGCTTTGGCATGCAGTATGGCATGGGACAGGAATTGTTGACGTGTGGGTCCCAGCAGAATAGCAGGATTAATAATCGGAACAATATCAATTGCAATCTCAATATTACTGCATGTCCCGAAATGATTTGCAGGCACCACTCGGAACTTGCAGCGCTCGGTATGCGCGCACGCCATGGACCAGATCCTTTGAGCATTTCACTCCAGAGAATCAACCTCATCCGCTTTGTACCACGCTGCGACATCTTGCCCAAAGTAATGCTCCTAGGAGATAGGTGTTGTCCGAAACCCTGAGCTATAAACTCTAAACCATAAACTTGAAATCCTAAACCCCTAAACCCTAAACCCTTAAACCCCTAAGCCCTAACTAAAACTTGAAACCATAAACCCTAAACCTCCATTTGCGGCCGAGGATCCTCTGCTGGAAGAGCTTTTTGCGACGAAAGCGGAGGAGAAGTCACTGCAGCAGAAAGAGCCTTTGGTGTCGCCAAAGTACGCCACACGGTTAAGGTTTAGGGATCAGAGTTTAGGTTTTTAGAGTTTACGTTAAGGGTCCAAGGACCCAAATAATAAGGTTTT